GATCAATTAAATGAGAAGTCGGCAAACAAGAGAGCAAGAGAAGAATTGGGATGCAAAAAATCCTGATCAAGATTGAGAAATACTACAAAGTTGTTGCCTGAGTACAAGCACTAGTTTTGTGCTGCCCTGTGATGGAAACAATGAGATGATGACCAATGATGCCACTAAATTACTAATCATGATCATGAGTTGATTAATGACAACTATGATAGATTGTGGTACAATTATTTACTGGTGGACATCAAGTTAATAACATGATGAACGACAATGTGATAGGATCTGACTTCGACGATGATTTTCTTTGCTAAAGACTTATCTGTACCAAGACATCGTTGTTTCAGGAGTTGTTTTGTAATATAGTTAATAACGGAAATAAGCAAATCACAAATACAATTAACCACTAACCTTGTGAAGCCATTGTAGCAGAAAAACCAGAGCTCTTCTACACTTAACACTACTGTATGCGATTAACAAACAATAGGGCTTGTTCTCTCTGTTTTGCGTAATCAGTGTGAATGCAAGGACCTCTATTATATATCCTTAGTGCTAGCATTTGATTAGGTTACTTCCCATCATGTAATCCTAATCAAATTGTATAAACAAATATCCTTATCACCACAAACCAATATTGTATCATAATAGTTAAACCTATTCATACTAGGATTACTTCCATCGTTATATTCGATCAAATACATTCCCTGATAGCTTTACAAGTCTAGTCTATCCCAATCTCTTATGACTTCAATCCTTTAAGCACGTGATAAACTAGGTGTGTAGCTCTAATTAGATTACAGTTGTTGCCTCACAAATTGCTAAAAACCAAGTTAACCTATCCATGTGGGATACACCCTATGTTTTTTTTTAATGAAATACTAACATAGGTTAGATTTCGACCTTAATTGTTGACGAGGCTCACACAGGGATTTAATTAATAACTTCTCACCATGAGGGTCACAATGAAAATATGATGTCACAACAATTTTTTTTAATGGCCTATAATAAATAAAGATGTGCATAGAGAGTTCGGTTCCACACAAGGTCTGCATAGAGAATTATCGTTTTTGGTTCACTTAAATTGTAACAGTCAACTGAAATGAGTTAGGTATACTCCTAACTGCAATTACGCCAGCCCTCTCTGTGTTGAGAACTCGAGTTGATGGTGATACTCACCCACTCACCATGGGTAGTGTTGAAGGAGCTCAAGCATCTCCAATGGGTGAGGCAAATGCATACTCCAATGGCTTATGTGGCTATTCATTTTAGCATTTGCCTAAAAAAAACTAGTGACTCCAAAGGATAAGACAATTGGTGAGGCAAATGCTCAGAAAAATCACCTTTGCGTATATAGATGGTGTGATCCAAATTGCTTAAATTTTTTCACAATGCAAATAGTTTTATCACACCTTCTTTGTGTTAAGCATTATGCAGGAAGAAGAGAACATAGAGATTATAGAAGACGAAGAAGGAAATAAAGAAAACTTAGAGAGAGAAAGAGAATGATTTTCACTTGTATTTTCTTGATAAAACGTTCTGGTTACAAACTGTTGCTGATAGATGAACCTTACAATACCAACAATCCTAACTGCCTATATACTCTAACATCCCCCTGCAAGCTCATGGTGGTCCAAGCATGAGATTGTTGCAGTGAGTGTTGACAATGGTGAACTCAGGCCTTTGGTAAAAATGTCAACAAATTGCTCAAAAGAAGAGACAAACTTAACCAAGAGGCTTTTTGACAGAGCACCTTATCTTCAACGAGTGACAAGTAAAACTAATACCTTTGTCATCAACATATTTAGACTTAGTGCAGTTCATGAAGAACCAATTTTGATATGTCATGAAAGATCGATTGAATTCTTCCAACAACTGCACAAGTAATCTAATTATAGCAACAAGAAATTTCAACTTAAACTGTAAAAAAACCAGCTCAGCAACCCAGTAATTAAGAAGGAAGAAATCATTCTCAAAGTACATCCAGGATAAATGTTTTTGAACAAAAACGTGGGGCCTCCACCTTTGTCAGTAATTAGCATATGCGAGCTTAAGATCAACAATACTTGCACCATCACATAACCTACTCAAGGTATGCATTTCACCAAGTTTTCCAATGTTGTCATAGTCTTCCTGCAAGTGGTAAGAACGTATATATGATAAGGTATTACTTGTCTCCAGAAGAATGCCACCAGTCTCTGAATTTTCCAGAGGAAATCGTGTTGATTTTTCATCAGATGATTTGATGGTAAGATCAGATTCGAGTGATGGAAGGTAACTTGTAGAATGGCACAAAGAAGTTGATACATTGATTTCATGATCTGAGCACTGAATTGATGGTGTCAATGGAGTGTGGTGATTGTGGTTTTGTAAATCATACAACTCAATAGACAAAATAGCTTTCTTTGTTGCCACCATTTCCAGCTTCTCATCAAACATGCTTACTATTCTTTCCTTATCAGCTCATTCACTAGGCATGTCGTTAGTCATATCATGTTCTATTGGAATATAATCTCCCTTCCTACCATAAACATGATTGCATCCACTGAAACATCCATCATTAGGCCAACAACATTCACAATATTTTGTCAGTGGAGGATGAGAGCCAATAATTCCTTGAGATATTTTCAATGTACTTTGACATGATTCAGGGGCTGAAACTGAAGAGTGAGTATTAAGTATGTAATAACAATGAGCATCTAAATGACCCTTTTTGTGAATTAGGATATGAAGATGGAGGTAAGCCAAGAACTCCAGGTGAAAATTGAGGAAAAGATTTGTATGTATTAAACCTTAGACCATTATTGTAATGGAATTGACCTTTACCACATCATGGAATTGACCTTTACCACATCGCACGACATTAGACAAGTGAGATGGCATAGCATATGATTGGTTTTGTCAAGTGAAACTGGTATGCATAGCAGTCATTGGAGATGCAGATGGATATGTCATATTTCTCTACAAGCAAGTGATAGCACTATGGTTCCTTCTATTACAGATTTGAAATGGCTCAGGTGAATCAGTGATTCTGTAAATACAATTAGCTGCACTATGACATTGTTGAGCACACAATTGGCAAGTGATTGTAGAATAAGAAGCTCCGTTGGTAAAATGTGAAGTGAAATTATGGACAACACGTTTAGGATTAGAATACCTTTGGCCTTGATTATACTAAAACTTGCATGTGCCCTTTGATTTTGAGTAAAAGGATTGAATGTGTCTAGTGCCTCCATTGCATCCAGGACTGGCATATAAACTAGAAGGACCATTGCCTTGAAAACCCAGATTTTGCGTAGAGCTATTTAACGCAGATGATCCATGACCATAATTGGCAGTTATTGAGTCTTTGGAACCCTGTCTTTGATCATGTGCCAACATAGCAGAGAGGAATGGTATTGAGGAATTGTTTTGAACAAAAACTTCCTCTACAAGCAATTGGAATCGATAATCTTTGAGAGAAATAACATTTTCTCTGCCACATATCACACATCTAAAGGTGTTATACTCAGATGGCAAGCCATTAAGAGCAAGAATAACAATGTCCTCATCTGCAAATATGACTCCAGCAGTAGCAAGAAAATCTCTTGCTTCCTTGATTCTTTGCAAATGCCGAGTCATAGAATCACTGCCTTTCTTGATGGTATAAAGATTTGATTTCATTTGAAAGATTGCAATCCTACTCACGATAGATAATTGTTCTTGAAGCCTAAACCATAAATCACTTGCACTTATGCTTCCAATAGCACAAGAAATTGCAGAAGAGGATAGGGTTACAGTAATGAGATGCATAAGTGCCATATCATGCATTTTTCAGAACTTATATTCATCTGGTATTCATTTGCCTCGATTCTTGATGATGAAACACCAGTCGTTACCTTAGAATCTCCATAACATGTAGAAGAAAATTGGGAAAGACATATTTGTGCCATCAACAAACCCCATAAGCCCATGACGTTCAAGCATCAATTGCATCAGAAAGTGCCATTGAAGGTAGTTGGTCTCTTCCAACCGGAGTGAAAACGATGTTGAAATTGATGAAATTAACCCATGATCCGTGATTGCAAGATCTGCAATTGACTTGCAGTAACCATGTTGATCGATTTTCTCAGAGAACTTAAAACAAACACTTGGTGTGCAAGAACTTGCAGAAAACAAATGGCAGAAATGGGTAAGAATCACAACCCAAAAATTCAGAAAAGAAATCATAGAAATGTCGTAGAAGAAAGAAATAGGTAGCGGAACCAAAGAACTAAGGATCGAAAAAGCTTGCAACGAAGCTTATTCGGCGATGATACCATGTTAAGCATTATGCAGGAAGAAGAGAACAAAGAGATTATAGAAGACGAAGAAGGAAACAGAGAAAACTTAGAGAGAGAAAGAGAATGATTTTCACTTGTATTTTCTTGATAAAACTTTTTGGTTACAAACTGTTGCTAATAGATGAACCTTACAATACCAACAATCCTAACTGCCTATGTACCACTTTGGAGATGTACACATCCCCCTATTTACGGCTTCATGCCTACTTCCCGAGGTTTTGGAGCTTAATGCTATAGATCTTCTCATAAAATTCATCTACTTCCTCACTGTCATTTGCAGTGGATCTGTTGGTGTTCTCCTTGTTGTCACTCGCTTGCTGTGTATTTGGCTATCGTCTCCGACCCAAAAACTAGTTATCGCCTATTTTAGGACTCCATTGTCGCTTTGTCTTATACCATTCTCTCAATTCAGCTCGGCTTGACGCACTGATATACGGTGTTTTTATTCCCTTCAAGTGGTTGGTCGTCGATGATTTTCGGGCGTTTCACGACAAATATGATATTTCCCTCGAGTTTCAAGGGTTTTTGTTTTGTGTAAAATTTTACTTGTTGCGTAAGGTTGTCCTTTCGGACTTTGTTGGATGAACTGGTCACCCGATTTACCAAAAATCGAAACAATTACTCGCATGTGATCTTCCACATTATGTTGTTAAGAGGGATTATTTAACTCGTTACGGTCACTTGATCTACTGGCACTCGATCTCCTTGCATTGAAAGACACTTGAATAACAACAAACTTGCAAGAAATTCTGTTGGTAGACTGAAATACAAATTGGAACTTTGAAATGAACGATTTTTGCACTTCTACTTGGATATCTACCTCAGCCAGTGAGACAACATTAACAAACGTTAAACAAAGCAAACTGATGTGCTGATATAGATCAGTGATCCATGCATAGAGGAGCAGCATTACACATACCCATTTTCAAGGAAACCCGAACATCATACTATACCATATATGGCACCACGACTGAGGGAGAAATCCGAATTCAATGACTTTTCTTATCTGCAACTGGTTCCAACTTACTTGCTGCTGCGGAGCGCTTGTCCTCTACCATCTTGGACTCAACTTCATCCCTCTCTCTGAAGTATCTCTCAAATGCCCTCGGAAGGAATCGAGGGATCAAAAACCCGAATAGGTTGATCGAGAAATATATGAAATTGGCTATAGCCAGGCTCCTCCCAAACCAAAACCATGCAACATCCTACAACAACATAACATCAATCAGTAATCATTAGCCAATGCACTAAATAAGAAAATTAATTAAGAACCAAATGTCTAAAACAACATAGTTATAAGATGTTCCTATCACGTTTTGAGCATGTGCCATCATATAATTGTCACATCTTTTAACTGTAAGAATTGTCATGTAGCAAGAACGTATGAGATAAGTTTTTCTCCCAAAACACAAGCACTGTAATTTACCTTAAACTGTGCATTGGCAGGCAGAGTTTTGTTAAGCCAAACATCTTTCATCCAATCAAGGATGACACAGATTCTCCTGACAGTGTAAAGCAACGGGACCAATGCCCTCACCGGCGGAGAAAACAGCGACAATCCGCTAATCACATTCTCAGTGAGAATCTGAAATGAGAGCAAGAACAAGTGAGGTGTTGCCGAGCGGACAGCGTGCTCATCGCCCCGCGCAAAACCACCCAATACGTATGCAAGCGGCAAGAAGAGCCCGATTGTGGTTCCCACAACCACGTAAAACCTGAAGAATCTGCTGCCTTGGAAAATCTCCCGAGAGCTAGAGCTGACGGGACCGTGAGAAGGGAAGGCCAAGCGCGCCAGAGCTAAGAGATATGCGGAGGCAAAGGCCGGGAAGATCAAATCAAAAAGCGGGACAAGGCCGCTGACTGAGAAAACCATGATGAAGGCCACGAGTTGGAGCTCTATTACTCGCAATGAGCCCATTACACCGCCAACAGCAGGCTGCTGGTGCTGTTGGCGGTGGAGCGGTTTCTCTTGGGGTTTGGATCCAGGGGTTGTAGTTGTAGTGGTTGTGTCGGGCTCTGATCTAGGAGCCACAGCAAGAGACACACCCGACATGCCTTTTCTTTATTGAGATGTCTACAACTTTGTTGTCAAAAGGCGATTAATTGGGTACTAATCAACCTAGCCAGGTAACACAAGGGTTAATTAGTGTCTTCCCTGATGATACTGAAACTTGAAAAGGAAAAAACAAACATAAATAAGAGAATTAAATCATCTGAATCAAACATATCCAAGGTGAAAATTGATAATATTAATTATACCAATTGAAATTGTTCAAACTAGCAAGGATTTAACTTGGTTAATCTTAATCAATATTCTTCTAAACAAAGGATTTAACTCGATTTGTTCATCAAAACAAAAGCAAATGAAATGCAAATATAAAAATCAACTGGCTACAGCAAGAGAAAAACTTTTACCCAGAAAAAGAATGAAAATTATTATTTGAAATTGATGAAAACCGAAACTTACTAAGAGAGACAGAGAGAGATCTAACTGACGGTATGGGATCAGCGAGAAGGAAAGCAAACGAAATGATTCGTTGAAAGCCAAACCGAAAGGGTCTCCGAATGAAAAGACGAAGGAAACGGTGAGAGCAAAAATGTGAAAATCTACACTGCATAGTGTCCTCCTTGTCTTTACGTGTAGTAATATCATCGAGACACTTGGCTGCATGCCGACATGAACCCGTGGCGGGGTAACACGTATCGCCATTTGGATGTGGATCAGACACTACTTTAAATCGGTGTTGGACGATCTTTCTTTTCGTATTTTTATTTCTTTTTGGTACCACAGGCAAGGCAGTTGGGATCCAATTTTGATCCATATCCAACCCGAATTCGAAGTAATTAACAAAATATGAATCGAGATTTTAATTTGATGATCCCGAATTGGATAATCCAGTTATAGATAGATAGTGATGTTGATTAAAGTTGATATGTTTTTGTTTGTGGTTAAGGTCGGATAACATCTAATTTTTTTAATGATTATGAATTGATCGTAGCCTTTTAAAACATTTCAAATAGGTGTAAAGTTTTGAAAAATAAAAATATTTTAAATTCATTATCGTTATGGACACGAGTATTAATGTGTGTTTTAACTCTCAAGTCATCTTAGCTACGCAAAATTATGGTTTAACGTGGCTAAAAGGAGTCAATTTAGGAGATTAAAGCTCCAAAGATGGAGATTAGTGAAAACAAACTGTAGTATTTGTCCACATCATCATTTAATACCGATGACCTAACAAATGTTTAATTTTCAAAACCTTCTTAGGTAGTTATTTAGAATGTTTCAAAAAAGTTAAGACAAATTTGAAATCATCCCAAAAAATTGGTGGTACTCATCCATACTTAACCTTTTGGTTTAGTGTAATATGTATATATATGGCCTAATCGGATAAACGGTCATCATGGTGATAAAGTAATTGAAAGATAAGCCATGTGGTTAGAAAATTAGGATTTAAGCCCTTGTGATGATACTCTGCTAGTAAATTTAATCCAGAAGTAATTTTCCGTTAAATGTTCATTAAATATAGGATAAAAATGTAATTTGACCCATACACCTTCCTCTTCCCTCCCTCTGTAATTTCACTTTCTTCCATTTCGAGATGCTGTATTTTGCATCTTGCATATCAACAAGCACATGGATTTCTTCAATTGGACTAGCACATGGATCCTTTCATCGGAGTGGCCAAGCTCCGTCCTCACCAATCAAAACCCATCTACCCCTATTTCTCAACAAAAAACTCAAAATCAAACCCTCAGTCGAATCCCAGCTACCTAGTTTATCAAGAATCACAATTTCAAACTTCAAAACGCTACTGGTGTTCGCATCCGCGACGGCAAGTTGATCTATGTCGTCCACGACATGTTTCTAGGTGTGGGATTGGGGCTGCTATGCACGGTGATGAAGTGCGGCGACATCATATATAGAAGCACTAGTTCCCAAATCTGATGACTTGACGCTCACGGCCCCTAGTGCTGTTCTGGTTTTGGGCGCCCTTTCATATTTCTGGGCCACCCTCGGGGTGACTCCATGGCTCTTTGACTTGTTTGTGGTAGCTTTTATTGAAAGGCTCTTCAGACCCACTTACAAAATGGTACTTTGGTTGGTTTTTGTTTAAATTATGGGTTATGATTGAAATTCTGAAGTGGGTTTTGTGGTGATAGTTGTGGGTTTGCAGGTAATTTTGTTCTAGGGAAGAAGGTGTTGATAATGCAAAGTACAACATCCCGAAATGGAAGACTGAAAATGCAAATTACAAACAGAGCAGAGAGACGAGGAAGAAGGTGTACACATGTTAAAGTACATTTTTATCCTTGCATTTAATGGACATTTAACGAAAAAATCACTTTTGGACTAAATTTGCTAACGAATTACACCACAAGGGTTTAAATCCTAATTTGTTTACCACAGGGCTATCTTTCGATTACCTTGCCACCACAAGGACTATTTATCCGATTAGGCTTATATATATTATTAGAATGTTATATTGTTTTATAAAATATTATGCTTGTGTGTAATTGCATACAATATTTGTACACTATTTGTTTTAAGGACGGTTGTCTATTAAACAACATGAAATCTTTTATTGTCGTTTTGTATTATGATCTAACATTATTTCTTTTCGCTTGTAAGTAAGAGGTCTTATGTTCGAATATCAAGAGTAACTAGTTTATTATCTCACCCTCTTAATTAGCATACTAGCATGTGGACACACACAAAGCGTGTGAGAAAAATTTTTATTTTTGTTTTTGAAATAGAAGGAGAGAGGAAGAGAGTGATAGAGAATGTGGGAGCGGGAAGTTTTTTATTTTATTTTAATTAGAGATATGTTAGAATTACATGTAGGTAAGACTTTGAAAAAAAACAGCAAAATTTGGTAATGTGAAATTACATTTCTACCCCATATTTCTTATTCATGTTATTTTTAATTAGATGGTTAAACTAGTAATTTCATAAGGTTTTAGTTGACAATGAGTGTTTTATTAATTAGTAAAGATAAATATGTCGATATATATTATAAAAAAATCCTTTAACAAAGTAAGAGATCTTATATTTGAATATCGAGAGTAACTAATTTATTTTCTCATACCCTTAATTAGTATATAAGTATGTCGATATCTCTACTAATTAATAAAACACTCATTGTCAACCAAAATCCTATGAAATTATCAGTTTAACCCTCTAATTAAAATAGAACATGAATAAGAAATATGGGGCAGAAATGTAATTTCACACAACCAAATTTTGCATTTTTTTTTTCAAAGCCTTACTTACATGTAACCCTAACATATCTCTAATTAAAAATAATAATAATAAAAATAAAAAAAAAATTCTTCCCCCTCCCACATCCTTCATCACTCTCTTCCTCTCTATCTATTTCAAAAACAAAAATAAAAAATTTTCTCACACATTTTATGTGTGCCCATATGCTAGTATGTTATAAAAAAATCTTTTACCAAAACAATGGATCAATACAATAAAAGAATGAATTTACTCATAATATTTAAATATTTACTTTAGGCCTTAAATCAGATTTGCTAATGATTCGATTTCAATGCGAACTCAATACTGAAAGGATATGGACCGACAAACCAGACTCGATAACCATAAAACTGTCTAAGATAAATGCCAGATTAGGAGAAGAAATTTAGAGTGAAATATCGAGGATTTATGAATCAGGAAGAGTTTAGTAAATTGGTAAAGAAAACAAGTACTTCTCAAAAGAAAAAGAAAACAAGTTATGGGAGCAAGTTCCCTCAGAAGTTGATGAGGTATCTTTCGTGATAATACTAATTAATTTTGTCAATAAGATTGGTGCTGGGAATTTGAATATTTCACTTTGAATCACAATCTTTTTTACTTTTGTTCTTTATTTACTGATAGGGTCATGCTGTGTTAAAATTTAAGAAATCCTGTGACGATTATGTCGAGAAATGGGGTAAGACAATTAAAGGTGTAAATTCCTATCATCCATCCCTATATATAAAATGCCTCCCCTTAATTTGTTACACTCTCCTTTATTTCCATATAAATTTTTAGAGAATTTCCTAACTTAATGTGAAACTTTTTGTATGCTATGGGTTATCAAGTTCAGAAAGCACCAGTTACTAGTGGTAGTGAAGGGAAAGTTTTGACAATGAAAATTTTGAAAAGTATGTCTCTGATAAAATGAAGGAAAAAGAGCATCAAAACATAGCTTGGAAGTTTAGTGACATTCTTCTCCATTTGTGACTGGTAGGTTTTAGATTTGACTATCATAAAAGGCGAGTTCGATACTAATTTGTTATGATTAACCGTTGTGTATTTAGTCTGAATTCTCTACTCCTTTTAGTAAATATATAGTTTTAAAAGTTGAGAAATCGCTCTTGGATCTTAAATACCTGATTTTATTTTTATCCATCTGTTGCGTAATGTATGAAAATTAAGAATTAATGCACATATATACTAGCAAATCATTTCAGAATTACAGGGGAAGATTTTAAGGAATCAGACGTTTAATTCTCGTTTTGAATTTGCCCAATTACAGAATTTCACTTTATTCCTGTTACAAACTGTCCTTTGATTAAATAGCAAAAAACGAAGACAGTGAAGAGAAGAAAGAGATCAACAATTTAGAATCTCATGGAGGCCTTTACTTGGCTAAAGAGAAAAGGGATTGGGACAGCTGACCAAGTCCCCTTAAGAGAAGAGGTTTTCTCTTTGCATTGCACGAAAACATGCATGACTAGTGCTGCTTTCGATGCATATCAATTTAATTTGTGTAGCCAGCTAGTTTCATAATTAACTTTTTTTTTGTTATAATTTGTTTTAGGTTGTGTGCCTGCTTGCTGAGCTAGAATTCAACATGCACTGTGGACATTGTGCAGATGATGTCAAGAAATGCTGCAGTAAGACGAAAGGTAAAACATCTGACTTCAATATCCAATGTTTTACGTATAGCATGCATTCAAGTTGAAAAAAAGTTAAATATGTCACTCCCTGCCTCTAAATTTTTTTCTCTATCAGGAGTTGAAAGTGTTGAGGTTGATCAGGTGAACAAAGTAGTGACAGTGGAAGGAAGATTTCGTCATAAACAGCTTCTCAAATGCCTCCGAAGGGCTAACAAGATTGTTAAAGTAAAGAGGTTGGTTACGGAAGAAATACAAGGACAATATGTGATGCAGAACAATTAGCAGGCTAGGTTATGCAAGAGTTCCATAAGTATGTAAGCCCAAGAAAAATAGGTTTTACATTTTCTAAAATAAGGACCTTGAGTATGATTTGAGCACATAATAGTGGGGCGATCAAAATTACAGCTCTAACGTGACATATGAGTTTTCCCTAATGGCAATTACTAGGTCAAATCTGCATTTTAAGACTTGGAGAGAATTTTGGGTATTTTTTTAAGGGGTAAGTGGAGTTTAATCCTTGGCATAAATCAACTTTTCATAAAAACCTGGTACAAGATAAAAAATTTAAATTAGTCCCTTGACTGGATGTTCACCTCAGAGTTAACATTAAAACTCATATTTCATTGGATTTAATGTCTTTATGTGTATTTTAGTTCCTAAAATACCCCCACAATTAATATTTGATTTGAGGGCTTCATTTCCTCCTATAAAATAAGAAATTCAGTTACATACCAAATAAGAAAACGAAATTATTGATTAGAATTCAAAAAATTTCATATCACAATGAAACAAAACTCTAGAAATCAAATTTTATTGAATACATCATACCAAATAAGTAAATAATGTACCTAAACCATGGTACCTATACCACAGTATCTATAGCATGGTACCTATATCATGGTACCTAATACAAAGTACCTGCAAATTAAAAAAACATTATTAGAATTTTAATGTACCTCAACCATGGTACCTATGTTGGATTAGTGTACCTCATTTCTAAAGTGCGCCAAAATATAGAGGAGCGAATGGCATGAGAACTATTTGAAACCATGTGCAGTATGTGGAGCCAAAAATAATCACAAAGCGACACGTGGATTTTTGGGTAAAAGAGGACAAAAATACCCTTGAGGCATACTGGGATTCCTACGCGCGAGCAGCGGGCAATCATCCCTAAACAAAGTCAAAAGTGCCCACAATAGGTAACAATTTAAAGCCTATTTCATCAAATCCTTTCTATAAGGTAATTCCTAAAACCTAATTTATTCTATATATTTTGTATTCCATTATTTAGCTAATCAATTAGCTAAATGATATTTTCCTTTCATATTCCCTAAAAATTGATTAATTAAGGGATTAATTACCTAATCAATCCCTTAATTATCAATTAAAACACCCATCCACACCTAAAACTACTAAGAGGCTGGCCACCCCCCTTTTCCTAACCTTTTTCACCTTTCTCCATTTTATTACCCATTTATACAAATAATCAATTTTGTAACTCCTAATTAAACCTAAATTAAACCCAAAAAACCCTAGCCACCTCCTATCCCTATAAATATACTCTCATTCTCACCAAAAAAGCCAATTCAAACACTTTAGCAAAAATCCCAAAATTCTCTAAACACTCTTTCTCTCTAAATTTTAACTTTGGCATCGGAGGTTCTTCGGCCAAAGCCCCCCCCAATTTATCGTGGGCGCGTGAGGCTCTTGGCCTTAACCTAAGGTGTTAATTGTTTTGTAGGTGCAAAATTGTCCAAGATCAAGGAGGAAGAAATTTGCATCCACACAGTACACATATGCAGATCATATACAAATATTGAACTAATATATCAAGTATCCACAAACAAACAAAAAATCCTAACAAAAACCCATGTACACGATTTTAGTGAAAATGCTAAACTTCCTAGACAAAGAAACGAATCTGCACAACACCATAGAAGAGGACGATGAAAGATTCATACAATTGAACTTTTGTGTTTAAAATGGACAAAAAATGAAAATATATTAAGTAATAATTGCACACTCATAACTCAGCATTTAAAATTTGTTATTGTCCATAATCACATATGGGCAATGTTGGAAAAATAGAATCAATAAAACCACCAAAAAAATAAAAGCTGACATATTGACATGGATGTATAGTCAAAGGACTATAATCAATATTTAATCTTGCATAAGACATTTTTTCTAACTATAATCTCTTAAGCAAGGATTAAAATCACATTTACCATTTTTTTAATTTTGTAAGCTGTAATCGAACCATCTTACTTTTATCAAATAAAGCATAGGTTTCGAATAATTTCTGAATTGCGGTTGATTTGCTCTATTATTCTGTTGCTTTCATGGGTTAATAGGCTGGCTCTGAGATTTCGGAGGCACTTTGAAAAAATTAAAATGGACCCTTTTATGTACAAGACATTTTTTTTTAGAACTTTAACAAAAAAACTCTCGGTACTGTTCATTTTAACAAAAAAACCACATTTTTATACTAAAAAGTCAATCCTAGTACTATTCACTTTACCCTTTATTTTGTTCTTACAGTTAAAACTCAAAGTGTTCAAGTCCTTTTTATTAGTTTTCCTTTTTTTTTTGGTGTTTAAAACCTTTTTTTTCCTTTTACGGTATATTTGTAAGTACGAAACTTACTTAGTATGAAAGTCAACTTTGTAACACAATATCGTCTACTGAACAATAGTAGACGAGTTTAAAGAAACGTATATGTCAAAGAAATGAAGTTTTTAACTAAGAGGAAGTGTATAAAAAGATACAGTATTCTCCAAAATAAAAAGTAATAACTGGGATACTTTTCAAATTTGTACATATTCAAGTTATGCATACAGAAATTTTCTTGGAATATAGAGAACTAATATATGTAATTAAAAGTTGGGGCCCTTGCAGATGGGAGCCCTGTGCAACTCCTCCTTTGCCACTCCCCCAAAGCCGCCACTAGGCTTCATATTGAAGATGAATTTTGCAACTTTGCACACAAGGAGGATAAAGAAGATGAGCCAAAGCAGGTATTAATAGATTAAAATGCTTAGATAAATGAAATTATTTTCAAGAAACATCAACAGTACGAAGGAAATTGCATGTACTGATTTTAGACAAGAAAAAATTGAATGAGGGATGAAGGGGAATGATAAGATACATAAGACATCAAGAATTACATGCAAGCACTATTGAGATGAGATGTTAATGCCAGATTACGTGTGATTGCACAATTAATTCTAAATTTTGATTTTACGTGCTAAGAAGATCGATATTTCAATGCTATACCAATTGTGCCAAACTAATTACTGATTTTTAATTAATTTTACAGAAACTGACATTGTTAAATAGGGAAAAAAAGAAGACAGAAACAGGAAACATACAACTGAAAAGTAGAGAGAAGTAAAAGATCAAGAGTTTGGAAGCATGAAGAAGTGGTTACCCAAAAGAAAAAGCACTGGGGATCGTGCTGATGAAAAAGTACCGCAATTTTGCAAACAGAAAATTATAAGTAGCTTTGGTAACAATTGAACCACACAAATTTTTTATATTTCAAGTGTCAACTCTGATTGCTTTTTAATGTATTTTTCTAGGTTATTATACGTGCACTGATAAAAATCAACCTGCACTGTAAATGTTGTATGAAAGATATCAGGAAAGCATGCATGAAAGCGGAAGGTAATTTATGCATCAATTTATACACACACACATACTTCTGAAAATAAAATTTCAGAAGTCAGTCCTACGTTTGAATTCTTTTTGTCCTATGTCTCAGGAGTAGAAAGTGTCGAGTTCGGACATTATGAGAGGACAGCTGGTCCGACATCTGTTTATGTAAGGATAGCAGAGGTTGATTACGCGAACCCATCACATGTACAGTTTGATCATCATTATAAACCTTTTGTGAAGACAGCAGCTCTGGTGAAAGGAAATTTTAGTATTAAAGAGGTTCTAAAACGCCTTTGGGATCATGCTACCAAGAAAGGTGAAGTTTTGGAGTCATTTGAGAAAAAAGATGAACGAGATGCGACTCCCAAAGAAGCAGGAGAAACTGGCTCCAGCCAAGGAGACGACGACGACGAAGAATATCGGACTCCCAAAGGATCAGAAACTAGCTCCAGCGAAGGAAGCCAAAAAGATGATAATCACTTTAGCGAAGCCGGAGCAGTTTCAAGTTATGGACATCATGACTAGATTTACTTATTTATTTATTCTTACAAAATAACTTTTATGTTCAGGTGTAATTTTTTTTGTTTCAAAAATATTATTCATTGAATAAAGAAGATTAATATAGGATGATGTTATCCACACACCTCTTTTTACATGTATGTTACCGTTCATAATACCTTACATTCCCTCTATTCCGGCAGCTCCCAAATCATGACATCTCCATTCCATATATGGAAGTAAAAATAACTTTAATATAGGATGATATTATCCACACACCTCTTTTTACCTCTCATACATTTCATGTTAATTTCTGTCATTGAATTTTCTTCAATTTATTTGATCCAAGAGCTAAAAATTGAGAGAAACATGTGAAAGGTAAGAAGACGTATGTGAATAACACCATCCTTAATATATGAAAGAGATTTGTTTTGGTTTAATGCCTTAGCTTATTTGGATTTCACTTTGTAATCCTAACTATTCTTTTTTCAGTAACATGAAAGAAAAAGAGAAAAGAAACACTAAGTAATAACTAGTTTAACTCTAACACCTCAAAGTAGTCAATGAAAAGAGTTTGAACTAAACATGAAAAAGGCTCTGCGAGCTCTTGAAATCCATCTTACCATTTAAACCAAGTTGGCTAACTCGTCAGTTGGAAAATTACGCTCTCTATGAACATGTTACAAATTGAAACTCCAGTTCGCTTTAATCAAATTTCTGCACTCGAGACAAGACCATAGTGGGAATGATTAAGGCTAAAAGAACCATGAATGAGAGAGGACCAACAAAGCATAATCAACCTCCACAATATGATAAAGACAAATTTCTAGCTTTAACAAAATATTCATCATTCGCAAGATAACTTTTTTTCTATTTCTCTTAACCAATTTATAGGCAACTCAATGACCTGATCATTACAGGTAGCCTAACTTTTAAAAGGGCAATACTGCTAATGGAAAAAGAAGCATAAGTTGACTAAGATTTTTTATTTTTTATTTATTTTTGTAAGCCTAATAATCCAATGACTGGAAATATATCCATATATAAGTCCAATTAAGAATCCAGGTAACAGAAACTCATTTGCACGAAAACCCAATCACTTTCCCTGCAGAGATCATCCATTTTTGGTAAAATGGTAGTCCAATATAACCATGCAATCAAAATATTTATTTTCTGAAATTGTTCTCAAGTTTGTTTAAGCAAGGCACATAATTAATTATAATTAAAACCAGATGCATGAGACAATCTTATTTATATCTAACATCTTGAAACCCCTCACATTGTATGAGTTTTTCATGTTGCTTGCTTGTGATTGAGTTTTGCTTTTCTAATTTATATTGTATATCTGCTGAATTTTTTGTGTAATTTTGTTTTGGTTTAGAGGAAAGATAATCAGAACATCCAAAATGAGAAGAATAATAATACTCAGTCCAGCAAAGAAATTGTACTGAAAGCACTTATGCATTGTGAAGGATGCAAAAGTAAGGTTATCAAATGCTTCAGAGGTCTTGAGGGTAATTACCAATTATTTCTTGTAGGTGTTTGGTTGGATACATCAATGTTTACATGTGTTTGGTTGGATACATCTTTAATGTTTACATGCATATATAATTTTTGTGAATTCGTTAGGCATCGAAGATGTTGTGGTTGATTACGCGAATCATAGAGTACTTATTAAGGGGAAAAAGGGCCGATCCCTTGAAGATTTTAGAGAGATTGCAGAAGAAGTACAGCAACTATGTTGAACTTATCTCCCCAAAATCGAAGCCTGAAAACAAAGAGAAAAAAGAGCCCCAAAAGCGAGAAAAGGTATGTTTTTACGGTCATGCATTCTTCATGTTAGTGCACAAAAATTCATAAAATATTCAATTTCGAATGCATCTTATTTAAAGATGTGAGTGAAAAAACCGTTACGTTTAGCATTATCAATCTTAGTGTTGGTATTGCAAATTAGTGCAGGATCAGGTGAAAGTTGTGGGGTTGAAAATGTTGATGCATTGTGAAGATTGCGCAAATGATATTAAAAAAGACTTGGAGAAAATGAAGGGGTAAAAAATATCCCAATGTGATTCTTATTTCTCTTAAAATTCGTTGACAGTGAGGGGATCAGTTGATCCACCAAAGCTGCTAGAATACATTAAAAAAAGGGACACTTTGGATACGGTCCCTAACTATCAATATTCTTTGATTGAAACCTTATTAGTTTTTAGTTTTTGATTGAGGTCCCTGACATTAATGTAATAATGTAAGTTACTATATTTTTTAAATTAAAAATTAAAAATTGAAATTTGTAATTGTTTATATTAATGAGATTTTAAATAAAACCCATAATTTATGGGATTAAAAATAAAATAAAATAAATTATACTCTCTATTATATTGTGTGTGTGTGTGTGTATACATATATGTATGGGTACATTAACCAAAATTAACAAAAAAAGTTATTGTACCAAAACATGGATACATTCTCAAATCAACAAAAAAGAATGTACCCATATAAGTTTAAACATGGATTAAAAAATTTGAATAGATTTTATATATTAAAAATGGTACATTTTTACATATAACAAATTGCTATATTTGAGAATGGGTACATTTAAGATTAAAAAAATTGAAAAATTATATGAATGGGTACATTTAAGATTAAAAATTAAAAATCTTTTTATATATATAAAAAACTAATAGGTACAAACTTAATTTAATTTAATTTTTTATTATTTTGGAAATGTTTGAATTGAAAATTAATTAGAAGTTTAATAGAGGTGTGAGTATTAAACCCTAAATTAATTACTAATTTTTATATTAAAAAATTATATAATAAACATGTAAATTCATTATCACATTAATGCTAGGGACTTGAATCAAAATTTGATAACTAATAAGGTCTTAATTAATAAACAGTAAGAATTAGGGACCGGATACTAATTTTTCCTTAAAAAAAACAATTAATTGTGAAGCAAGAACGAGGACAAGGGCAAGAAAACAGAAAAATAATAAAAAAGAATCAGAAAGGGAAAGTATGATCATTTTCTTTAATTCCGTCAAAATAAGTTATTTTGGAATGACCTTTGCTACAATTGAGTTAAAGTTGAGGGACCATTACTCCAATTGAGTTAAAGTTAAGTGACCATTTCTGTAGTTGGGTTAAAGTTGAGGGATCATTGCTACAATTTTTCTCATTTAGTTTTCTATATTTGCCCTTCGATTCAACCTCATGTGCGTGGCATATGACTCATTATGACACAAGTTCTTACAAAGTTAAAGAAAATGACTATAGATGCACGTTTTGAGGAGTTAAGGGACCAATGGTCATGAATTTTTATTACTCGAATTGAGTTAAAGTTGAGGGATCATTGCTACAATTTCTTCATTAAATAATTTCATAAATGTGATTTCTTCATTCTTTTTTGGGTAAATATCAGTTTACTATCTTCAAGTTTCGTGGTTTTCAACATTTAGTACATGAAGTTTTTTTCGTCCCAGAGTCATTCCTAAAGTGTTAATTTTGGGACAGTCTCATACATCCGTTAGTCTGGCTGTTAAGTCTCTTATTAACTGATGACGTGGCGCCCATGTGGACAATAACTGGCCGCCATGTGTCATTAAAAAAATTAATATTAAAAAAAAAACACACACACACACACACCCAGAACCTTTCGTCTTCCCCCACCCTCCACCCCTCCACCCCTCCACGACTCCACCCCTCCATCCCAATACAAGAATAATTAATTTTGCAGTTCCAAAACCATAATAGAGAAATTGAATCAAATACCCACTTTTACCAAAAATTGGATAATCCAAACAATGGAGGAAACAAATATGAGAATAATAATCTATCCATATATTTAAATTCCACACATTTAACCTCATATCTAACAGATCTTATCCTCAACGATCAAAACGCACTCAGAGGATGATAAATCAATTCAATCTCTGAAAAATACTCAATCAATCACAAATTTTCACTAGAAAAAGAATAAGGTTTGATGCAATAACAGCTTTAGATCCAAATATCATAGATTAATTAGGCATAATAAGAACAAAAGGGGGAGAGAGAGAGATCTAAGAACGGGACCATTGTCGTCCTTGTCGAATATGCTGAATGCCTCATTGAACTCGAAGATCTAGTCGTCGGTGAGTTGATTGGCCATCGTTGAGAACGTTTGGCTTCCAAGAAAATCATATAGAAAGTGTCCAAAATGAAAGGGAAAATATGTTTGTGCATGTCTCGAATGTGGAAAAATGTAAGAGACGGGTACGCTTTATATATCCAAAAAAAGAGTGGTGGAGGGGATGGAGGGGTGGAGTCGTGGAAGGGGTGGAGGGGTGGAGCTGTGGGTGTGTATGTGTGTGTGTTTTTCTTTTTAATTAATTTTTTTAATGACACATGGCACCCAATCATTGTTCACAATGAGCGCCACATCATCAGTTAATGGGAGACTTAATAGCCAGACTAACGGATGTACGAAACTGTCCCAAAATTAACACTTTAGGTATGACTCTAGGACGAAAAAAACTTTATGTACTAAATGTTGAAAACCACGAAGCTTGAGGATAGTAAACTGATATTTACCCTGACGAAAAAAACTTTATGTACTAAATGTTGAAAACCACGAAGTTTGAGGGTAGTAAACTGATATTTACCCTTTTTTTAATATATTACTAATGTCATACAATTTCACGTTGAAATATAAACACAACATAAGAAATAGTTATCAAGTAATGGTATGACTAACACACTTAAAAACTTAATATACATTAATCTGAATCAAAATTTTTTTTGTCAGTATTGTTAAAAAAGTTACTATAAAATTTTTACAAGAAATGTTATTGATAAAATGGTAAGCAATAAAAATTGAAGGGTTAATATCTGTTTACTGCCCTAAAGTTTTGTGGTTTTCAACATTTAGTACATCAAGTTTTTTTTTGTCCCAGAGTGATACCTAAAGTGTTAATTTTGGGACAATCTCATACATCCGTTAATCAAACTGTTAAATTTGCTGTTAACTGATGACGTGGTGCCCATAT